TCCGAAGTCCCATCATACATACCAATTTGTGGGATCTTAGTTTTGGCGGGGCACTTCAGCAGTAAGTTCGGGTGCCAAAGGAGAGTCGACTTCGACGATTACGTTACCCGAGGTCGGGATATGCCCGGGAGATTCTTCTTGTGATTTTTGTCTGGTTTCCAATTCAGCTAATCTTTTTCGTAAAGCTTCTAGTTCTGCTGAACTGTGTCGTGACATACGATTTCTCTCAATTTGATGACGTAAATCTTCACGATCACCCGATAAAGGAGACTCAGGCCGTGGAGGTATAGTAGTTCTATGATGATGAGCAGAGTGACTTTCAGCTGTTAACTCCTAATTTTGCGCCACAGCTATATCAGGGACATCTGGTGGTTGATTTATCATTGGTCGATTCAACTCTTCATGATGTTGGGATGTGCGACGTAGTTGTGAAGTAGCATGCGACGCCGCTGCATGAGTTGTCTGATTTTGCGCGAGTGGATTCGGCTGTGCCGCTATAGTCACAGGTAAATGAGTATGCAGGTGAGTGGTAGTTGTAGCGCTAGGTAAGGCTCGCGCCATAAGCGATGATAGACCTTGTAGGAAATCCTAATTTTGAAAAAAGTTCGTGAAATCCGCTGTGACTGGTGCTTGCGTCGTGCGTCCAGCTGAATGGTTCGTGTTATGTCTATGCCCAGCATGTGAAGAACGATCTCGCTCGGATTGAGACATTATGAACGGTAACGAAATGTTCTGTAACCACGTTTGCGCAAGTATTGGCTGTGAAAGCGAAGATTAACCTCAAAATATATATGAGCCCCTTCCTTTAATGCCAAATTGTTGTTATATGCAAATTAACAACGATATGTAAACGAAATTATAGTGTAAAGATATGTAATTTGATGTGTAGACAACAGAAAAGACGTCGGTTCATGTATTGATGACGTCGGAGTTCATGCATTTTTATTGATGATTGTTTGATATTCAGTACAAGATTTCTGAAGGTCAAAAGTCCCTTTTCTAAGGGTCAAGTCCGCTATTTATAGAACGGTGGCCCACCGTACGAGGTAGGTGTGGTCGCATTTAATGTAGGAGCGAATGTCAAAGGCAGTTGTCTGCCAGCTAGACGACAGCCATAATGAGCAAATGGATTATCACCGCCTTAGATGTCGGTAATTAGTTCTTGTAGACATCGGTTTTTTGGGGTTTCGACCGATGAGAGACCTCGGTTAGCGGAATAAAAGTAACAATATTTTTCTGTTTCGCCAAGAAATGATGTCGGTTCTTATCGACTTCCTATTGCCGACATGTCCATACTTTGTTGCGGAAGCGGGATCGCAGGACCTTAAGCTTGTGTAATTCTTGCTAATTTTGGATTTATCGAAAATCATATCAACATTTTCCTAATAACATAATGATATCTTAATATATATAGATATAAAAAAAATAACATATTACAAGTCCAACAAAAATATATGAAAAATATATGAACAAATGGCCTCACACTGAGGTCGATATTAAGTTTGTGCTTGATGATGCTAGCCTCAATTTCAGTGAGTTCCTCGGCTGTGCATGAAAAATATTCTGCAAACTCTCTTATCATCTTTATCAGCTCCATCCTCAATGGCTCTCCTAACTCTTTCCAATCTTGAATTCCTCTTCTCACATCTTTCGATCATCTAGATCTCCTCGATCTCCCCACTAGGCTGAATGTCCACTTTCTCCTTTCCTTTATAGAGTTTTGACCTCACCTTCTTCGATTTAGAACCACTTGGTCGATCTGGAACTTCTTCTTTTGGTTTGGTTATTCTTGTGGCAATCTGTCGATTGTTACTCACTGTTGTTTGATAACAACTTCTTGGGGTCAACTGATCGCCAGCAATCTCGCCCACATTTTCTACAACCAGGTATTTGACCATCACATGGTAGGTCGAAATTACAGCATGAAAGCATTCAGGCTTGTCCTTCCCAAAATAATATTGTATGACGACTCAACGCCGACAGCCACAAGCCTCACCATCTTGACTTTACAGATCGCCCCTGACCCTAGGGAGACAGGCAGAGTAATCTCCCCCATAGGGACCACCTCGCTCCCATTGAATCTTTATAGAGACGTCACGGCCTCCTTCTACTCCAAGTTCAACTCAAGCTGTTTGAAACAATCATAAAACATCACGTCCACTGAGCACCCTGTACCGATAAAGACACACTTTACACAATATTTTCCACCTCAATTGTTGTGACCAGGGAATCGTTATGAGGCACGAGAACCCCCTCAGCATCCTCAACTCAAAAGCTAACTACTGACATTCGAGCAGTGATCCCTACTTTCTCTCTCTTTCTTTTTAACGGCTCGAGCATGTTCCTTTCTGGCGTTGTTGGAATCGCCATAAAATGGTCCACCAGAAAACATATAAATGGTACCTCTCTTGACCGGTACCCCATCCTCTTGCCCTTCTTGACCCTCATTACCTCGTTTGTGCATGCTCTCCTCACCACGTCGACCTCCTCAATCTTCTCTCCCTTCACCATCCTCATCATCCTTGTGGTTATCCTTCTTAATAAAATCTTCCTGACACCTCCTCTTCACTCAATTTTGTCCATGTTACATCCCAACCATCCAACTTCCTCTCGATTATCTCCAACGCCTCAGTTATTTGGGTTTTCAATGGTGTATACTAGTGATACCTCTAGTCGCCCAGTAGGGATCGATCCTCATTCTACCGATCCTCTCGACCCCTCTTCGGCCTCTTCTGTCTGTCCCTCCTAGGGGAGTTAGTTCTTTCCTTCTTCGGCTCAGGTCGAGCCAGTTGTTCTAATTTTGAGATATTCTCATATGTTTTTTCAAGATTAACATATTTCTTGCAACGCTTTAACCCTCATCATACTTACGAGATGGGATCTTGGCCAGGGAGTTTCGACAAGAGCCATCTCGTAAATTTCTTATCTACCCGCCAGCTTTTTACCTCATCAGAGGCAGACGGGATTTCCACACATGCTTGGTTGTACTGGGAAGCATATTTCCATAAAGGTTCTCCCTCTCCCTGCCTCATCGTGTTTTCTCCTGAGCTACATCACTCGCGTACTGGTTCAACAACATCTCCGAAAAATCCTCAAAATCCTTCACCGACCCCGTGGGGAGTTGGTGAAACCAATCAGTGCTCCTTCCATCTAGGCCAAGAAGAACACCCTACAACTCACTGGTTAGAGTATCCATGTAATACGAACATATTCTCAAATGATCGCACATGCCTCGACGGGTCTGTTGACCCGTCAAGCGTCAGGATCGTCTCCCAGAAGTTGGTTGATAATGGAGCCTCCACAATTTCCCTCGAGAAATGATGTCCTCGAGCTCAACCAAGCATGTGTGGAAATCCTACAGCAGTGGCAATCATACGGTCTAGCTCCTCCCTTTACAACGTGAGCAGCGGATTGCCTGCACGCTCTGCCTCCATCCTCGATGGTCCTACCACCTGAACCACCTCTCCTTTCGGTTGAGCTCTTGGCTCCACCCCCTTCTCATTCAGAAACACCACTCCTTGTGTCGCTCGAGCCTCAGGAGCTTGGCTTGAGCCTACAACAGCTATAGGGACAACCGATAAGCCACCCAAGCCTATAGGACGAAGCATTGGGATCACAGGCGTATGAGAAGGTCAGGAGAAGCTCAACGGTGGGCCAACTCCAAATGACGGCTAGATCAGCCACGCCTCATCGAATGTTGGTTGTAAATTCTTGGAACTTCGTCCGCCATGGATGAAACACAACTTTTCGAACAAAAGTCCCCACAGACGGTGCCAAATGGTATCAAAAGCCATCCGAACGGCTAAGATCGATCTGTTGATGAGCTTTCTTGCTGGTTGAACGCCTTCAGGCTTGCAAAAACTCTCAAACTGGAGGAGTTTTCTGGTGAAAAGCCTCCGATGATTAAATAAGTATATGTAGAAGATGAACTGCAATAATGTAAAGTATAATGGATGTAATGAATGAGACACCACACACCTCACCCTTAGAGATGAGGTGCCTGTTTCTAGAAGGTTGCCCGGATATAGTAAACTAGCTGCCCAAGCTGTCCAATAGTACAACCGACACTGCCCATTGTCAGATGTGGTTGCAGAGTATGGGCCAATCAGGTATCGCCACGTGTAGCACTAATTATGGCAAGGTTCCTTCTTATTACTTAATCTTCGTGATCTAATTAGATCACTTAATAATGTGACCCGCTCGAGCACTATCGAGGTAGAACATTGGATGTCTTGGACAAAGCGCTTCTCCTTCTGGTCAATCATCGACCAACCATGCATATAGGTCGAGTTTCTACCAGGCCAGCCGAGGGCCCTAGCTCGACCTGCTGCTTGTACCCCTTATGTTGTCTTCTAGATCATAGACTCTTTATCATGAATAGCTGATGTTCGACCACCCCCAATCCCTCTACGACCAGATGGCTTGCTTATCGACCGGTTTATTCCTTTGGGTCTGGTATTCCATATCATGTAATTTTTCGGTGGGACATTATTTTTTCACATTGCCAGGGCCTACAAAAGGTCAGGACCGGCTCGGGTGCCAATAATTGTCTATAGACAAGGAACCTTCAACTACCACTACTATTACAACTACTACTATTACCACTACCACAAAAAGAAAAAGA